ACACTATCCCTGAAGCAGAACGAACAAGAGCGTTAGCAACAATTCAACAAGAAGCAGAGACAACAACATCGGCAGCAGCAACAACATCGACAGCAGCAACAATATCGACAGCAGCAACAACATCGGCAGCAGCAACAACATCAGCAGCAGCAGGAACAACGACACCAGTCACAGTCGACGAAGCACCACCAACACTCGCGCAACAGCTGAATCCGACTCAGCGTGAAGTCCACCGAAGCGCCAACCTCGTCGCCAGCTTTTACTCCAACTCCGACGCATATCAGCGTTCACCCGGACACCGCGCCTCTGAAGAGATCTGGCACGCACGCACAGGACATCCAAGCAACACAGTTTTGAATAACACGATAAGAGCAGGAGTCCTCGACAAAGACTCTCTACTTCTACCCGATGGCAGAGAACTCCAGAAGGCACGAGGGACTTGCCTTATATGTCCCGAAGCTGACTTACCTCATCGACCGTTTGCTTCACATCACAACCCGAGCGCTCCAGCGTACGCACCACTCGAAAAAGTCTACAGCGACATCCTCTACAATCGCGAACCAGGACAAGTCAACTACAACTACACCATCACCTTCATCGACGCTGCTACTCGATACGTCTGGCATCGCAACCTACCCAGCCGCGACATGGCGCTCGCAGCATTCGCCGCCTGGCTACCGATAGCAGAGAGAGAGTCTGGAACACAACTGAAAAATTTCCAGTCAGACGGAGGTGGCGAGTACACCTCTCAGCGCTTCAAGCAGTTCTTGGCGGAAAGGGGGATCAAGCAACTCCTCTCCCTTCCCTACGCACATCAGCAGCAAGGTGTTGCAGAACGACTGAACAGGACCCTGCAGAACAGCATGCGCAAACTGTTACGTGGCATGCGGCTACCCAACCACCAGTGGCCAGCAGCAATGGACCACGCTGTCATGCTGCACAACTTGTTGTCGTCGTCGTCACTCCCGAACAACGCATCACCGCATCTGCTGTGGACAGGGAAGCAGGGCAGCACGAAAATGTTACGAGTTTTCGGGTGCATGGTACAGTACAGACCCCCAGAAGCACGAGCGGGAAGATTTTCGCAACGGGCACAGTGGGGACTACACCTCGGCATCGAGAAAAATTACAACGCATGGAAAATCTTCGACGTCCACACAAAGGAAACAGTAGCAGCACGTGACGTGATCTTCTACGAAAGACTCACCCTTCAGACATACCTCGCCAACTTGCACGAGAATCGGGACCTCACCAGTGGTTTTCGTGGTGACCGAGCCTTCGCGTCAGCAGCGGACGAAGCAGACTGGGATGAACAGAACGTCGACAACGCCTCAGAAGAAGCCGGACCTCTCCCATACTGCTCCGTCGACGTGCCCATGGATGAGGATAATCCTCGCGACAGTAACAACGCCGAAATCTTCTACCGTTTCGCCGACGATGGTTACATAACACCTGTGACAGTCAACACCAACGAAGCAGAAAGGGTAGGGCCAAATTTCATGCCCGACCCAGAAACGGGAGACGAAGCAGCTTATCCCGAGGATCCAGAACTCCCTCGATACTCACAGACTGGGCTGCAAATCCTTGGTCTCGTCACCGCAGTCCATGGCGCCGGCATTCCTGAGGAGCCTGCGACGGTTCAGCAGGCTCTGGGGGGGGAACACAGGGAGAAATGGCGTGAAGCTATGGACAAAGAGCTGAAGGCACTGGAGGAGCGCAACACCTGGAAAATTGTTCCCATCGGCGTAACTCAAAATAAAAACATTCTTACCGGAAAATGGGTCTTCCGTGTGAAGACGAAAGCTGATGGCACCATCGACAAATTCAAAGCCCGCTGGGTCGTACGTGGCTTCGACCAGGAGCACGGAAGAGATTACACCGAAACCTTCGCTCCGGTCAGTCGCCACACCTCACTCCGAATCCTCATCGCCGTCGCCGCCATGAAGAAAAAGAAATTGCGACAGATCGACGTTGCGAACGCATTTCTCTACGCACCTGTGGATGCAGAAATCTTCGTTGAACTCCCGCACGGCTCCCACGGCGAACCCAACCGAGTGTGTCAACTACTCAAATCACTCTATGGGATCAAGCAGGCACCGCGACTGTGGCAGCAGTACCTACACGCCCGCCTCATTCGCATCGGCTTCAAACAACTCCCGCATGACCAAGGCATGTATCGCCTCACAAAAGGAGGCGATTACGTCCTATTAATCGTCTATGTGGACGATCTTCTCTACATTGGGTCAACCGACAACATCGCCGCGTGGTTCGAAGGGGAGCTCCAGAAAGACCTCACGCTCACGGTCTCTTCTACGGTTACGCAATACCTCGGGCTCAACATCCGTGAGGAAGAAAACGCAATCTACCTAAGCGCCGAGAAGTACGCCGACACTATCGCGAAACGCTTTCGTCTCACACCAAGCGCCATCTCCACGCCTTATCGCTACGCGTCAGGAACCGAAAAGGGGCAATCTACTCTACTTAAACCCGCCGGCATACGCGACTATCAGAAGAAGCTAGGATGCCTTCTTTTCGCAGCAGTCACGTGCCGTCCCGACCTATCCTACTCCGCGAGTCAGCTCGCTACCTATCTCAAGAGACCTGAAGCAGAGCATCTGGCGGAACTCGATCGTGCTCTCCACTACTTCGTCAGCACCGCGACGATCGGACTAACTTATCACAAAAACGTGACTACACCGACCAAACTAATCGGCTACGTCGACGCCGATCACGCCGGCGACACCGACAACAGGCGCTCACGCACCGGCTATGTCTACCGCCTTGAGCCTATCGGTCCTATCTCCTGGCAGTCAAGCAAGCAGGAGTTAATCGCACTATCTTCAGCAGAAGCAGAATATATCGCACTCTGCTCAGCCACCAAGGAGGGACTTTACCTTCGCGAACTACTGGAAGAAGCGAAACTAGCCGAGTTACCCAGCTTCACCGTGTTCTGCGACAACCAATCGGCAATTCGCATCGCCAACAAAAACGGCTTCGCAAACAGGACGAAACACATCGCCCTGCGCTATTTCTTCGTGAAGGACGAGATAGAAAAAGGGAAACTCGATCTGTCATACTGCCCAACATCCGAGATGGCAGCCGATTACTTGACCAAGAAACTCGGAAAGCAGAAGTTCGAATACTGCATGATGCTGACTGGACAAGGCCACGTCACCAGCAGCGACACTCCAGAAGCGAAGGGGAGTGTTGGAAACAATAAGTCCTAAGTGCGCTTCTGTCGTATCAAAACCCAAGGCACCAAGCGAAGCAGTCCCAATCGAAGCATCGAGTCAACCTCGGAGGTTAGGGTAACCGCCTGGAGGTTACGAGAAAGTCAAAGGTCGCTGACCTTTGACTCGACAATCACAGCGCGACAGTTAAGGACACACAACTGACTCGTTACAGAGCAGTTGCCCGAGTCGCACTGTATCGAACCGCAACAGCAATACAGTTATCTACCTATCTATTCGTATTCCCTGTACTCTTATATAAATCCTTGTATTTGCTTGTTTAATTCAATCTACTTTGCTCTCACACACCAGTGCAAGGTCGGTTCACAATCCTCATCAAACGCTTCCGCTATTACAAGTTTTCTACCCAAGAGTTCTCCTCTGCAAAGATCCTAAGGGCTACTTTCTCAGCCCAACAGCGTCTCCCTCCCTGCAGTCCTCCTCACAGTCCCCTCAGCAGCCTTCGGCACTTCCGCTACAGGCTACTGTGGACTCAGGTGGTGTTGGAGTTGGAGGTGCTGACACTGGTGGCGCTAGTTCTGGGGGTGCTGGAGCTGGAGGTACTGGCACTGGAGGTGCTAGTTCTGGGGGTGCTAGCGCTGGTGGCGCTAGCTCTGGGGGTGCTGGAGATGGAGGTACTGGCGCTCATGGTGCTAGTTCTGGGGGTGCTGGAGCAGGAGGTGCTGGCGATGCAGAAGATGGTACTGTGGAGACAAGAGCTGGAGGCGCAACTAGTGCATCGCCCACTGCACCTCCCCACCGCTACGACACCCGTCTCCAGGCCCTTCGTCGGCTTGGGCGCGAGGACCAGGAGCGGTTGGAGCAGGAGAGGCAGGAGTTGCAGCAGTTGGACCAGCACGCTTTTCAGAAGTTTTTGTTTTGAACCAGGCTTGCCAGCAAGTGTTGGCTGGCGAAAACCAGGATTTCACGCATACACTTTTCATACGCAGTAAAAGTTTGCCAGGGTTCTGGGTTTTGGGTGTCAAATGTGCACCGTCGCTTTAAGAGAATGAGATGAGATGTGATGTGAAGTGATTCAAATGCACCTGAGGAGCATGGGCTGGTTCTTCAGGCATAGGGACGTTGCTTGTTAGGCAGGAGTACAGAAATAGTTCGCTGCTTCAAAAAATACAGACCACCGATGTGTAGTGTAGTGTGGCAAAGTCATCCAAGTGGGCATAGAAGCTACTGGCAATGTCTCTTTGACCCTTGCAGCAGCATCACATTCACACCCTTGTTTGTATGGCAATGCTAAACAGCTGCAGTATAGTATGGTGGTAGCTTCACAGGAGGAGGTTGAAGCAGGAGGAGGTTGAAGCAGGAGGAGGTTCACGCAGGAGGAGGTTCACGCAGTCTCTGATTGCTTTGGCCGCACGACAATAACGGGGCAGGTGGCATGATTGACACAATAATCCGACACACTTCCAAGCACCAGTCTGGAGGGGAGGCGAGGGGAAGGGAGTGGCGAAAGGGGGTATACATGTTCGAGCTTAGACAAGGACTACTGCACATTGTCAGCAGGTACTACGTTGATGACTGTGTGAGGCTGCATCCCCCTACCTCGCTGCAAATGCATTCACCACCTCTCCTCACCGCACTGCTCCATCGCACAGCACTGCATCTCACCGCTTCACAGCCTAAGTCCCCATGACCCCATGATGAGTATATGCCCCTTCATCCTCCACCTTGCTGCAGATGCATTCAGTACCTTTCTTCACCGCACTGAACCACCTCTCACCTCTTCACCACACTGCACCATCTCTCACCTCTTCACCTCACCACACTGCGCTCTCTCACCGCTTCACCGTACTGCACCATCTCTGCACCACATCTCACCGCTTCACGGTACTGAGTCCCCGAGACCCCATGATGAGTGTATGTGCCTTCATCCTCTCCACCTCGTGGCAGATGCGCTCCCTGGGATCCGCGTCCTGCACTGCCACTATGTCGTATTGCACCTGGTGGTGGTGGCCAAAGGACAAGAGGAAGATGGTACGACAAGCAAAGGAAGGGAGGGGAGAATGCAGCAGATAGCACATGTTCATTACAAGGGCTCTCGCAGATGCGCTCCCTGAGGTCCGCGTCCTGCACTGCCACTATGTCGTATTGCACCTGAGGAAGACAGGAAAGGGAGGGAGGCAGAGCAGAATCAAGGAGGAGGCGCAGGGAATTCATGTGGATTCCTGCAGATGCACTCCCTAGGATCCGCGTCCTGCACTGCCACTAAGTCGTATTGGACCTGGGAGTGAGAGAGATGCGGAGAGAGAGAGGGAGAATGCAGGAGAAAGGGGGTCAGGGTTTGTGTTGGCTCCTTCACGTCAACACCTCCCTGGGCTGGGATCCGCGCCCTGCACTGCCACTATGTCGTACTGCACTTGATTCGATAAAAGAGAGAGGGGAAACAGGGGAGAACGCGGCAAGCACAGGGTTGTTACACGTGTTCGTGCAGTTGTGCTCCCTGGGGTCCGCGTCCTGCACTGCCACACGCACTCACCCACCCACCCGCCCTCCCACCCACCCACCCACCCACCCACCCACCCACCCACCCACCCTCCCACCCGCCCTCCCAACCACCCACCCACCCACCCACCCACCCTCCTACCCACCCTCCCACCCTCCCACAGGGCCATCCACACTCCAACTGCCGCGACCCACTCACCAACCCCCCCATCCACCCTACTAGCTTTCTCAGCTAGCACACCTACTGACCCACCTTGGCCTGGTCCAGCTGGTGCGACAGATTGCTCACGAATTTCCTCCGCACTCCAGCATTGTGCTTCTCGATCACACGGTCGACCTCTGCCATTGCCTCTGCTGACAGTGTTGAATCCGCGTAGGCTGGAGGGGGAGCGTGGGACACACAGGCATAGGTGTTGTTCTAAGAAACCAGAGTACAAGCTGGCTCTCCCCACACCACCCCGGCGTTGTGCTTCTCTCTCACTCGGTCAACCTCTGCTGACAGCGTGGAGTCGGCATAGGCTGGTGGGGGAGAGGTGGGGGTGTGGGGGGAACAGAGAAGGTCGACTTTTGAGTCGACTCAAAAGTCAACTGGTGGGGGAGAGGTGGGGGTGTGGGGGGAGCAGAGAAGGTCACGAAATCACCTCCCCGGCACATGAAACGCCACGCCTCTACATCACTCGGTCCACCTCCGCCATTGCCTCTGTTGACAGCGTGGAGTAGGCATAGGCTGCAGCGGGAAGACAAGGGGGTGTGTCGGTGTCGGGTGGGGCACACAGGCAAGATACAGCCAAAAGAAAACAGAGAGCAGAGTCACTCTTCCCACACCACCCCAGCGTTGTGCTTCTCTATTACTCAGTCCACCTCCGCCATCGCCTCTGCTGACAATGTTGAATCCGCATAGGCTGGAGGGGGAGCGTGGGGCACACAGGCTAGATACAGCCATAAGAGAACAGAGAGCAGAGGGACTCTTCCCACGCCACCCCGGCGTTGTGCTTCTCTATCACTCGGTCCACCTCCGCCATCGCCTCTGCTGACAGTGTGGAGCCGGCATAGGATGGGCTGGTGTTAGGGGTATAGAGGACTGTGGGGCACAGAGTAGCTTTCAATACTTCAAGATGTGGCGCCAATCTTCCCACGCCACCCCAGCGTTGTGCTTCTCTCTCACTCGGTCAACCTCCGCCATCGCCTCTGCTGACAGTGTGGAGCCGGCATAGGATGGGCTGGTGTTAGGGGTATAGAGGACTGTGGGGCACAGAGTAGCTTTCAATACTTCAAGATGTGGCGCCAATCTTCCCACGCCACCCCAGCGTTGTGCTTCTCTCTCACTCGGTCAACCTCCGCCATCGCCTCTGCTGACAGTGTGGAGTCTGCGTAGGCTGGCAGACGGGTAGAGGGGGTTGCGGGGCACAATCACAAATATACAGCGAGAAATTCACCCATATGGTCAGGTGTGCGGACGCATCTAGGATCCTGCAGCAGCCAGGTAATCATGTAACCAGGTAACCACACAACAAGCTACCCAAGAAATCCAGGTAGTATGCAACCGAACCCGCAAAGAGGCCAGGTCTTGATATTACTGGGCGCACGTGCAATAGGCATGCAACCTTGTAACCATGTGTAACCCTACCTGCAAAGAGGCCAGGTCCCGACTCGACAACTGGGCGCACGTGCAGCAGAGTGACTCGATCCGATGGACGAATGTGGTTCTTGAGCGCCCATGCTACTGCCTTCTCACTAATATGGAGGAGGTGTGGGGGGGGAGGGAGACGGGTGAGCAAAAGAAGAGGCAAAAACATTCAGGCGAAAGGGGGTTCACTCAGCCTGTGTGTGGTTTTTAGGGGCCTAGGCTCCTTGGCAACAGTGATGAGACTATTGTTATCGTGTGGTTCCGTGGGTGCTGTAGGGGACAGATGCTTCTATGAGGGCGTGCAGGGTGATTATACAGTGCAAAGGTAATGAGGCCTCCCAAGCACGACTCACCTGTCAGGGCTGGGATCGACAGCGATCAGAATGTTCCTGGAAGATGTGGGCGAGGCTCGCGGCATGCTGGCAGTTCGGTGTAGACAGGTCACAGATCGGTTGTAGACAGGTCTCAGGTCGGTTTAGACAGGTCACAGGTCGGTGTAGACAGGTCTCAAGTCGGTGTTGACAGGTCTCAGGTCGGTGTAGACAGGTCACAGGTCGGTGTATTCAGGAACCAGGTCGGTGTAGACAGGTCACAGGTCGGTGTATTCAGGTCACAGGTCGGTTTGGTCAGGTCTCAGGTCGGTGCTCTATCCTGGCACAGCGGCTCAGCATCAGAGCGGCAAAGTGCTAGCAATCGTGTTATAACCGAAAGCAAGGTGCTTCCGAAATGCACAACACGCAGTTCAAATGGCAGAATCAACAGCAGCAGCAGGAGGTCCAGTTGCGGCTAGCTGCGAATGGCAGTAGCAGCGAAGGTGAGGCAGGGACGTTGTGATGATTAGTGGCGTTGATGGAGCCTGGAGTTCAGTGAGTGGGGAAGGAAAAGGAGGGGAAGAAGGGGAAGGAAGATTGGAATGGAGATACAGTAAGTTGGATAATGAGTGAGTTGGATATTCAGTGAGTTGACGACATTCAGTGAGTTGACGACGTTCAGTAAGTTGACGACATTCAGTGAGTTGACGACATTCGGTGAGTTGACGACATTCCGTGAGTTGACGACATTCGGTGAGTTGACGACATTCCGTGAGTTGACAACATTCAGTGAGTTGACGGCATTCAGTGAGTTGACGACATTCGCGGCCAGCTGATGAAATCCAATGAGTTGAAGCCATTCAGTAAGTTCCAGTGGAAGCAGAGTCCGGTTAAACTTTGAAACAGCGAGCTAAAAACACGCGATGAAATCGTAAGTGCGAATCTAATGCACACTGTGAACAGACAGACAGTCGAGGACGCGTGTGGAGAGCGAAACGTTTAGAAAAGGGAAGAGAGCGTGTTAGGGACGAGCGACAACGACAGAGGCGACGATGCCGCCTTGAATGCAACGCTGCCATTAGCCGAAGCGACATACCGGCCAAACGACTCTTGCGGGGGACAGGTTAAACGGCGGATTCGGAGGCGAAGGGTGAATGCAACGCACGAGATAAGATACGTTCTATGAAGCTATCAAGCCTGTGCAAAAGAGCTGGTTGTTTCTTCGACTCGATGAATTCTTGGTTTATGGAGTTACCAAGACGCTGGTCTGCTCTGGTCCTCTTGGTTCTAGGCCCTTCAGAGTTTCCTTGTCCCTAGAGTTGCGCGGTCTTGTTCTGTTCTTCCTGGAGCTCTCCTGCGCGGGCGTGACTAGATTAGCCAGAGTTTCATCCGTAGATCGTGGAGAACGAACTAGGTTCGTTCAGTTACGTGTATCGCAGTTTGATGTTATTGGCAGGACTCAGCCCAGAGGATGTCGTTCCACAACGGATTTTCTGTGACACATGAATCAACAGTCCGCTTCGTGTCGTCCGTCCAGCCTGTGGTGATAATTAGGATACGCCCTCTAGCACTTCGTGGGTGAGATTTTCTCGATGGTCTTCTGTGCTGCCCTTCCCCGCTAGTGGTGGGTGTGTGTCATTCCACGCTGGACCTGGGACATGCTTGCGGGGCAATGATCAGAGATGGTATCCCGGTGCGAAGACCCTGCGACGGGATTTCGCCAAGTTCTAATGCAGACGTGGCAAGCAGGTCAGCGATATTTCTGACCAAAACTCAGGACCATAACCAGTTGACTCAGTAAGGGAAATAAGGATTCCACATTACAGACGAATATGTGTGAGTTTGTGGAATGTGGATTTGTGAGCATCTTCATGAGCGGGATCTAATTCCGATCCCTCTCATCTGGGAAATACCGTAAGGGAAATAAGTAACGTGGAATAAGTAATGTGATCATCTTCAGATGGCTAAGGGAAATAAGTAATGTGGAATCCTCATTTCCAATACATAAATATTTGTGAGCATCTTCATGAGCAGGATCGAATTCAGTGGCCAACTGCACAAGGCGTACATTACTAGAGAGGTTCAATAACATTAAAATACAAAACTCTCCTTATGGGCGGACAACCAGAGGAGTAATGATTGTAGCTGCAGCCAACATTCTAACATAATCACTACGACTCACGTGTAATAAGTCATGAAGCTTCACATCGCACTCATCCAAGACCAGGGTAATGGGCATTCTGTATCTCCCTTATAAGCATCTCCTTTTCCTCCTCAAAATCTTCCTCCTCTGTGTTGTTAAAGGGGAAAATCGGAAAGTAAAGGAATGGAATGAAGAATGGGTGAAACAAAAAGACAAGAAGGATAGGAATAAGGAGGCGGATTGGAAGTGAGGAGAGACAACGGGATGCCCTTTGGTAGAAATAACTCGAAGGATATGACAATTAGGAATACAGCCATCTTGCCTTATAACTATGAAAGAAAAATGACTTGTTCAACTGGGCACAGTACATGCACCCCTGTGTATCATCTTTGGACACACACCTTTACCCATTTCATCAGCACACACACCTTTGTTGAACTCAAAGTCCTTGAGGAATTTGACCATTTAGACCATCTTCTCCTTGTTGCAAGGCAGCAGAGTGCCATGACAAATTCTCAGAAGCACTTGACAGCACTCAAGGAACTGACCATCTTGAGGCACAGCCAAAACACACATTTTTGCCATCTGTTTAGCACGTGCGCACACCTTTGTCGATCTCAAAGTCCTTGAGGAATTTGACCATCTTGTCCTTGTTGCGCGCCAGCAGCTTCACAATCTTCTCTGGCTTCCGTGGATTCGCCACAAAGATCTGTGCGGGGGTGTGATGGGAGCCATGAGAGGTGAGATGCACCATGCAGTGACGTACACAGTAGGGGCCTCATGCAAGGAACATGTGCTTTACACTGGAACGGAAAGAGACAGGGAAGAAGAAAAAGCAGAGAGCAAGTACTAGCAGACTGCGTTTTGACCAAGGAGAAAAACATAAGCTGAGAGTTGAAGAATATGGGGAGCACCTTAAACACGTGGAAGGCCTCGTATTGAATGGCTCTGCTGGGGTCCTGATGGTGGGTGGGGTGTGGTGGAGTGCGGTGGGGTGTGGTGGAGTGCGGTGGGGCGTGGTGAGGTGTGGTGGGGCGTGGTGGGGAATGCATGGGCGTAGAACATGGCGTAATGGTAGTTGGTGTGTATGGGTAAACGAGCTACACATTACCTTGATGAGACTCATCGTGATATAAAAGTTGTGTGCCTTCAGATTTCATTCTTCACTTTACCAAGCCCTTGGTCTGCAACCCTACAACCTTACACTTTTCATGCAGATAAATGGTTCAGTTGAGGGCAATGGTTGAAACACCAAATACCTTGATGAGGGTCATCATGATAGGAACAGCACCTTGATGAGAGTCATCATGATCTTGAAGTTGTGAGCCTTCATTTATGCTTACCAAGCTCTCGTTCTGCTTGCAGCACACCTGTATGTCTCCAACAACCCAAGTACCTTGATGAGAGTCATCATGATCTTGAAGTTGTGTGCCTCTCTTAGCTTCTTCTAGATATAACCGAATCATTACGCCCCTCCATATCCCTTTTAAGACCCGAGTACCTTGATGAGAGTCATCATGATCTTGAAGTTGTGTGCCTCTCCAATGTATCGCATCATCACTTGCATGTTGGCTCGGTCCAGAAGAAGCTCGCCTAGCAGCTGATGGGGGCGGGAAGGCGGGGAGCACAAGGGAAAGGTGAGGAACACACACACAGAATTGATGTTGCACTGTGTGCCTCTCCGATGTATCGCATCATCACTTGCATATTGGCCCGGTCCATAAGCAGCTCGCCTTGCAGCTGGTGTGAATGGGCAGGCAGGAGGGGGTGGGCAGGGGAGGCACATATAACACAAGGGAGTAAGGCGTGGGATGATAAGGCATACCTTGATAGCTTGTCTTCTCGTGACATAGTTGTCCGAGTTGAGGAGCAGATCAAAGCGCTTGAAGAACTGACGAGGCATTTTTTCAGGCGCCTAAACGATCCTTTCCAGGAGCTGTCAGGTGTACCTTGATAGCTTGTCTTCTTGTGACATAGTTGTCCGAGTTGAGGAGCAGATCAAAGCGCTTGAAGAACTGATGTGCCACAGGGTCATGAGGTGATGGGGTGATGGGGAGGTGGAGTGATGGGGCGATGGGGCGATGAGTTGATGGGGTGATGAGACGATGGGGTGGTGAGGTGATGGGGTGATGGGGCGGTGAGGTGATGGGGTGGTGAGGTGATGGGGTGGTGAGGTGATGGGGTGGTGAGGTGATGGAGTGGTGAAGTGATGGGGTGGTGAGGTGATAGAGTGGTGAGGTGATGGGGTGGTGAGGTGATAGAGTGGTGAGGTGATGGAGTGACTATAAACTTTGAAACACTCGCATGTGTTGGTCATTAGAAACTTTGCTGTCACAGCTGGATGTGACTATAATCCACACTTGCCCCGTTTCTTTCTGCCCTCCCTACCCCACCCACCCCCTTCCCCCATCCCCTTACATACATCCTCGAAGTTGGTCATTAAGAATTCTGCTGCCACAGACGGATGTTGCTTCAGCAGGTCCTGCTCAACCCATGGGGAGCATGGGAGGAGGGGTGGGTTGTGGGTGGGTGGAAGGGCAGGCGTGATAGCAGATTGGATTTCAAAGAGCTTGCTACGTCTGCTGAGTCTTGCTGGGATGCGGCAGAGCGGCAGGCTGTCGCTTCGGCAGGTCCAGGTCAAACCATGGGTGGGATGGGATGGGAGGGGCGGGATATGGAAGGGCTGTCATCATGGTGCCGTGATTCTAGACTCTA